GATGACCTTTCACCCTCTGTTTTCCTAGAAATCCTCCAAGATGACCTTTCACCCTCTGTTGTCCTAGAAATCCTCCAAGATGACCTTTCACCCTCTGTTTTCCTAGAAATCCTCCAAGATGACCTTTCACCCTCTGTTGTCCTAGAAATCCTCCAAGATGACCTTTCACCCTCTGTTTTCCTAGAAATCCTCCAAGATGACCTCTCCCCCTTTGTGTCCCAGAAATCCTCCAGCAGGTCCTGCTCTCCTTCTCCGTCTACTCCAACGCCCAGAAAGTCCTGTCTACCGAAGAGGCCCCCGGTACTATCGGCTGTATTCATGGACTCCGATTCTTCAGCATGTCCTGGCTCGTCATCAATCATCTTTACCTGATGTTTGTGGGCTATCTAGGTGACGTTTAGTAAAGTTTGTCCAGAGTTAAACGAATTTGAGGCGTTCTGACAAAATCCGTTAATTCTCGTTAGTTTGGTGATGTTTTTTTTAGCCTTAAGTACACATATTTACTAGCGAACAAAAGAAAGGCAAAATCCTGTTAACCTTTTCAGTGGTGATCAGGTTCGTTTTCCATTTTTTTTTTTTAAAACAAAACGAGGGAATTTAAACACAAACTGTTTTCTGGCATTATGAGATCATTCTGGCAGGTACCATTGTGAATATTACATTTTAGCGGAATACATTTTCAATTTCATGCATCGAAAAGCTCAGTAGTGGTTTTTGGCTTCCATTAGATCGGATAACTGCACTCGTAGATCTCCGGTACAAGGAAGCCACTAGGTTGTTGGTAAAGCTTTTACTTGTTTACTTGTCAGAAGGACCGACATCACTGCACATGGGGATAAGCGCTCCGTCTCCTGAAGAAGCATATCTCGAAGTGTGTAGATGTTGACGGTTCCAAGCAATGGTTGATTCCATAGACTTCTGCTACTCCCACTAAGTCTTAATCTTCTGCAGGCGCCCCCTCCCATTCCAAGCTCACGAAGTAAGCGTAGCAGGGTCTGCCTCCATATCTCCTTTGATGGTAACAGCCAGTTTCTGTGTGGTTCTCGGCCTTGGTTGGCTCCCCTCGGTGCGTTGTTTAACGTCGCCCTAAAATGTTTAATTGGGTTCAAATCGTGCTAAGGGCAGGGTGAGGCTGCAGAGTGATGCCACAGTGTTGGAGGAAACTCTGTGTAACAGGGAAAGTGTGCGCGTAAGCATTACCGGCAGTTAAGATTTTGACTGTGCAGAGGGGGCCTAAGAACTTCTGCTATGCAACGGCAGCATTGATTCCTTGACCTCGACCTTGGCCTTTATTTCGGAACACCATTGGTCCTACTTTGCGGCTCCACATGAACCCACCCCCAGATCATGGCGCAATGTCCTTCCCAGCGATTCCTTTTTATGACACAGTTGTCACAATAACGGTCGCCTTCCAGTTGATAAACTCTGATGCCCCTGTTTGTACAATCAGTATGGATACCTTGCGGGCTTTGGTGCTGGGGGGAACTGATCACTTATGGACCTGTCCGGTGTACAAAGATGTTGTTGCCCAGGACAGGTAATACGGGTAATGGAGAGCAGGCGTTCGTCTGAAAATGAGAACCAAAGACCAGTCTCTCAGACGGTTATTGACATGGTGTTGGGCCCAGTTGAAAGGCTCTTGGCGATGGTGTGCGGTCAAGACTGGACTATGGTAAGATTGACGGCGTCTAAGGCCTTCCTGATGCACTCGTCGGTTCACTTACTGGTAGTCGACTCATGGCTCTTCCTTGGGTACCCCTTATGAAATCTGATGTTCTTGTAGCTGTCCGAGGTCGATTTGAAAGATACATCAGGACAATGGTTCTGTATGCACGTGCATTGGTCACTCTGGGTCGACCTGACCTTTTTCAGTACGACGTAGAATCTGTGAGCTAAAAACGGGTAATGAGTCGGTGGATTGTCGAGATGTGAACACTAAATTGACTTGTGAGGCATCGTGGTGAAATAAGGCGCTCGTCAAAATAATGAAAGTGAAGAAACTAACATTTTTCAGCAGGTTTGGGGATTTTAAAATTACCTTTGTGTTTTTTTGGCTTAACGCCTTTCATGCCCATTAATTTTAAAAAGTACATTTCTGTGTGGAATTTACTGAAAAACGTTGATTAAAGGCATAAAAGATATAAATTTTACGTGTCCACGAACTCTCATACTATGGAAATAACAAAACTTTGGCGGCCATTTTCTCGCTAATGTTACCTCTGAAACTTGGCGACCCCCACCTCCTTCTGTTGCCAAAGTCTCGACTTGTAAGCTAGACAAATGGATATTTTTCCTCGAAAGCAAGGCGAATGGGCAGGCTTTAAGATGATATCAATAACCACATACGCCCAGAATCTGACGAGAGCCTGATTTCACCACGTCGTGACACAAATGGTTTGTGACCACTATTGGCCTCTCTCCGCCCTCCAAATGGCCCATTGCTCTGTCTTGCTGTATAGCCAGCCCTTAAACGTGGCATTGGCGTAGCAAATGTAGGCGAAACAACCGAACCGATTTTTTAAAAACCACGGCTGTTATAGCCGGGCTCCGGAGAATACTTTCCACCCTTTTTTCTACTCATTTAGACCGTTTTTCGAAGGCACCACGTGGCTTTTTCCATGTTTCAATTAAGGGGCAATAAATCTAGTTGCCGATGACAACCAAGACAGGAAACTTTTGATTTCCAAAGAGGATAATATGACGTACTATGGATGGTGTAAACTTTAGTCTTCTACCATTGATGGTTATTTAGGAATGGCCAAAATAGTTCTTCGCGTTTGTTTTGCTCACTAGTATATTTTACACGTCAAATGTACAGGTTTGAATTTATACAATTTGTAATATAATGAAGAGAAAAAGACACATTTAACTTTAAGAAAATCTCATTAGTTTAAAATTGACTTTAAGATGCGTCTATTCTCGGCCGATGTCTCCATTCGTAAATTGCGGGAAGTAACTCATTTTGTCAGCACGCCTTACAAATAATATTATTATGCCTGTAGATTTTTACTTTTCTTAAACTCTCTCTCTCTCTCTCTCTCTCTCTCTCTCTCTCTCTCTCTCTCTGATGTTCTGATGCACATTTTTGTTAGGTGACGTTTATTTGTCTAGAGTTGAACAAATGTTATGCCTATATACTTTTCCTAAACTCTCCTCTCTTTCTGAAGTTCTGGTGCACTTTTAATAAAAAAAATTTCGGTGAGGTTTATTTGTTTAGAGTTGAACAAATGTTATGCCTGTTCATATTTCTTAAACTCTCCTCTCTTTCTGATGTCACGATACATAATTCTTATTCTTCAAGGATTTTAAATCAGCTGGTTAGACGTTACTTTGGGCATTCTCGTGAAATATACGTTGTCTTCTTTTATGTAGAGTATCGGAGCAGACTCGAGTAATGGACCATGATCACTGTTGTCAGATCTGGCTTTTGAAGAAGAAGAAGAAGAAGAAGAAGAAGAAGAAGAAGAAGAAGAAGAAGAAGAAGAAGAAGAAGAAGAAGAAGAAGAAGAAGATG